CTGGCACAATTACTGTGTCAATTTCTACTAATGGTTTAAACAGTAATAAGTATCTCCCCTATCCAAAATTTAATACTGGCGTAGTCCTGGCGCAAAACTGGCACAATTACTGTGTCAATTACTCCAAATGATTTAAATCGTAATGAATACATGACAATAAAGATAAAGACTTAAAAAAAAATAAAGAAGATGATAAAATAAATTGTTCCAAAATTAAAAATCGATACGATCACTATTATGAGATTATAAGGGTGTATATGCATAAAGTGTAAGTGTTTTTATGTCTATATATGTGAATTGTATATAAGGAGTGGTTGTAAAACTATTCTATTTTAGCCGTGTAAACGCCGTTGGCGGGTAATTCAGTCGGGCGGTTTCAGAATTGCACACTCGAGGCATCCCTTATTCGCGCAAGGTTTAATAAATCTTGTAATACCAGAGGCCCGTTATCCAGTCGACACGCTCCATTAAATCGAGTGTATCCACGCGCACACGGTTTATATATATATATATATATATATATATACCGATTGAAAGCTCCATAGAGGAAAAGGTCAAACAAAAGCGATCCGGCGTTTCAAATTATTACTCACATAGAGGAAAAAGGTCCGTCTGCAAATTTCATAGCGTTCGTGGGTAAGATAGTGACCTACCATACCATATATAAATATATATAACCTCATAAAGTCGATAAATTATAAACGGACAATTTTTAAGTTTACTTTTCTCCGTTAACGAGCTTTTCTAACTCGGTAGAATAAATATAGTCGTTAAAAAGTTACTAACCTTATACATATATTATAAATCAACATCGTACAGAAATGAAAAAATATTTTAAAATTTAGAATATTTTTTATACTTTTAAATTTAATATGAAATAATTTTAAAATTAGAATATTTTCTTGTTACTTAGAATATATTTTTTTAATACAAAAAAATTTTTAAGTATACTGGCCAGTACCACGCCAGTATTACGCCAATAGTCAATTTTTGGTAGAATATTAAAAAAAATGTCTACGTTATTAAAAAAAAATTTTTAGTACTGGCGCTGTGCTGGTACAATATTGACCCAGTACTGGCGCCATTCTAGTACCAGTGTTACGCCAGTACACCGACAATAGTCAATTTTTAAAGGTTACTCAAAGAAAAATTGGGTTTTACCTATTAAATATTGAGTATTGGCGCTGTACTGGCGCGGTACTGGTACCAGAATAGCGCCAGTACTGGGCCAGTATTGCGCCAGCACAGCGTCAACACTACATTTTTGATAATGTATTTCTTCAAAGCAAACTTTGATTTTTCTTTAAATAAATTGACTATACTGGCGCAGTACTGGCACGGCTTTGACATTATACTGACGCGGTACTGGTAAGGTATTATTACGGTTCTGGTACGGTAGTTGTCTTCACTATAAAAATTTGACTACTGGCGCCGTAGTGCTGTAGTACTGGCGCAATACTGGCATAGTAATGGTACCAGTACAGTGCCAGTATTGCGCCAGTACTGTACTAGTTAATTCTGTCAGTATTGCGCTAATAGTTTCAATTTCTTTAAGGTTATTGAAAAAAAATTATCTTTCCTATTACAAATTGAATATTGGCGCTGTACTGGCACGGTACTTGTCTATCTTGGTGACAGTACTGGAAAGGTACTGCTATAGTTCTTATACGGTAGTTGTCTTCCCTATTAAAAATTTACTACTGGCGCCGTAGTGCTGTAGTACTGGCGCAATACTGGCACAGTAATGGTACCAGTACAGTGCCTGTATTGCCCCAGTACTATAGTACTACGGCGCCAGTACTGTACTGGTTAATTCTGTCAGTACTGCGCTAATAGTTTTAATTTCTTTAAGGTTATTGAAAAAAATGATCTTTCCTATTAAAAATTGAATATTGGCGCTGTACTGGCGCGGTACTGGTACGGTATTGCTACAGTTCTGGTACGGTAGTTGTCTTCAGTATAAAAATTTGACTACTGGCGACGTAGTGCTCGATCCCGGTGCCAGTACTGGGCCAGTATTGCGCCAGTAATCAATTTTTGATACGTTATTTTTTTTTAAAGAAAAACTTCATTGCAAGCATAGGTATTTTAGGTTATATATTCGGATATTTTAATTAAAAATTTCTTTTTTCCTATTAAAAAAAAAAAAAAAAAAATGTTGAAAATTTAATTTTTCTTTTTTAAATTGACTTTATTTTGATATACAAAATATATAAATTGACGCAACAGTCTTTGATTTTAATTAAAAACCATTTTTCATAAAGCTTTTTCTAGTGTAGAGAGAAAAAAAAAAGAGAGAGAGAGAGAATCATGTGTGAGCTGTTTACTTGTCGTGCAATGATGAAACAATCGAGTGACTGAACGGAAATCATAACTTTCGTGCGATAAAGTAATCGACACGTGAATATATATATAAATTTTGAGAGACTGGTTTATATGAGAGGGACATGAATATGATGATATATCCGCGACGAAGCGAGATGAATGGAGATCGTTAATCAAAAAAAGAGCCCCAATTTTCAAAAGATATATATATATATATATATATGAGTTATGTATGGAGAAAAAAAACGATCAAGAAAACGCACGGTTTGGCAACTTCTTTTGAAAAAAACCAGCATTTTGTGAAAAGGATAAAAAGAAAAACGAGGGAACATGAATTGAAACAGAGAATTTTTTCTGCCCTCGCATAAACAGTTTTGACCCCATTATATATGATATTTGCGAATCTACATTGAAAAAGGAATTTTTTTTTTTGATCCTTCAGAAAAAGCTTCTGGTTTAATAAATTATATGAATGTTACTCTCCCAGCAAAGAAAAAGAGAGAGAGAGAGAAAGAGAGAAATTAAATTTCAATTATTACATATTTGTTGAGACGCACATGAATAAGTTCTAAAAGTCAATAGTTAGAATTTTCATATTTAATAGAATTTTAGTAAATATGATTTTTTATTAAGCTAAATTTCAATTTTTTGAATTATTATATTTTTTTGAAATTTTAAATTAAAATGATTTTTTATATTCGAGAATTTTTATATAAAGGTAAATTCACATCATAAATTACAATTGATGTTATTACATTGAATAACATCCACTAGACGCGAAAAAAATACAAATTTAGGGGAAAAAATGCAGAATTGATGTGGAATGACCCAAAAAAAAAAAAAAAATTCAAAAAATGGTTATAATTTTCAAAAATATTAGTGGATTATTATGAAACTTGGTAATTATGTTCTCTGTAATGAATGACATCCTTTAAAGGCGAAAAAAATAAAATTTAGGGGAAAAATTCAAAATTGATATGGAATGACCCAAAAAAAAAAATTCAAAAAAACGTTAATAACTTTCAAAATAATTATCCGATTGTTATGAGAATTGGTAATTACGTTCTTTGCAATGAATGGCAGCTTTTAAAGGCTGGAAAAATACAAATTTAGAAAAATAAGTGCAGAATTCATATGGAATGACCCAAAAAAAAAAAAATTCAAAAAAACGTTAATAACTTAAAAAGAAATAAACTTATCCTTGTGTAACTTTGTAATTATGTTTTTTTCAATAAATAACGTTCTTTTCTTTGCAAAAAGATACAATTTTAGATGAAAAAAAAAACGAATATTTATTACGGAATGACCCCCCCCCAAAAAAAAACAAAAAAACAGTAATAACTTTCAAAAAAAATATTGGCGGATTATTATAAAACTTGGTAATTATGTTCTCTGCAATGTATAACATTCTTTAGAGGTGAAAAATACAAATTTAGAAAAAAATGCGTCTAATTAATATGGAATGACCCAAAAAAAAAAAATTTTTTTTTTTTATAAATTTGTCTTTTTTTTGCATTTAAAGAATACAATTTATTGCAAAGAACACAATTACCAAGTTTCATAACAATCTACTAATATTTTTGAAAGTTATAACCGTTTTTTGAATTTTTTTTTTTGGGTCATTCCATATCAATTCTGCACTTTTTTCCTAAATTTGTATTTTTTCGCCAATAAAGGATGTTATTCATTTCAAAGAACATAACTATCAGGTTTCATAACATTTTGGTAATTTTTTTTTTAAAGTTATAACTGTTTTTTGGATTTTTTTTCGGCTCATTCCGTAACAAATATACGTTTTTTTCCCCTAAATTTGTATCTCTCTACAATAAAAGAATGTCATTTATCGCAAAGAACATATTTACCAAGTTTCATAAAAATTCGTTAATTTCTTTACAAGTTATAACCGTTTTTTGGATTTTTTTTTGGGGTCATTCCGTATTAAATATAAATTTTTTTTTTCTAAATTTGTTTTTTTTTCGCATTTAAGTATATGTTATTCAGTGCAAAGAACATAATTATCAAATTTTTATAATAATTTGGTAATTTTTTTTTGAAATTATAACAGTTTTTTGGGTCATTCCATATCAAGTTTGCATGTTTTCCCTAAATTTGTATTTTTTGGTTTTAAAAGAAGAAAATTTTTCTTCAGTTAGTTAGTGTAGAATTTAAAATGTTTAAGTGTCAACCCCTGTAAAATAGCTTCCCGTCGATACGCGCCTTTGTACACACACTCTGCCTCTAAGCTTTTCATCACGTATAGCTCTTTATCAGGGGCTTCGATCCTCATAGACAATTTTTTTTAATCACTAAAAATTATATAATATAATATAATATAATATAATATAATATAATATAATATAATATAATATAATATAATATAATATAATATAATATGATACAATATAATATAATATAATATAATATTTTATAATATAATATAACATAATATAATATAATATAATAATTATATTACTATATAATTATAAAAAATATATAAATTCTAAATTTTAGAATATTTTTTATCAAAGTCGAAATATAGTTTAAAAAAAAGAAGATTTTTTAAAATAACTACGAAAATTTTTATCTAAATAAATAAATGAAAATAAATAAAAGAGACAAAAATTCATTTTGTGCAATATTTGCTACGACAGTAAAAATAATAATTGAAAACTTACAAGGAAAGATGACGGGAGGATGATTCTGGGCATTGTGAGCATTATGTATATGTCCCGGTGTTGATGCTCGTTGTCTGCAAAAGCATAATACACCAGCGGCGACGATGCCCACCATACTTAAAATGACAAAAATCATAGCTACTGCAAATAATGTTGTCTCCATGCCAAGTATTATTGACGCTTCTGGATCTAGAAATAGATATTTTAAAAAAAAAAAAATAGAAAACATTATTTTTTAAATTATTATTATTTTTTTTTTTGAAAAAAATAAAAGAAAAAGTTTTATTATCGACTGTTGTAAATATTGGAATCTTCTTTATCGACAGTCGATAAAACCCACTCCCTTCGTTATCGACTATCGGTAAAACTACTCCCTTCTTTATTGACTAGCGGTAAAACTACTCCCTTCTTTATTGACTAGCGGTAAAACTATTCCCTTCTTTATCGACTATCGGTAAAACTACTCCCTTCTTTACCGACAATCGGTAAAACTACTCCCTTCTTTATCGACTATCGGTAAAACTATTCCCTTCTTTATCGACAATCGGTAGAAAAAATTATTTCGTCTAAGAATCTTTTTTTTTTAAACAATCGTCGATAAAACTATTCCCTTCTTTATTGATGATTGGTAAAAAATATTATTCCTTAAACTAAGAATTTTCTTTTAATAATTGTCGATAAAATTGCTCCCTTCTTTATTGATTAACGATAAATAACAAATTACTTCCCTTATGGCAAAAAAAAATCTCATTTAACAACCGTCGATAAAATTACTTCCTTCTTTATTGATTTTCGGTAAAAAATAAAATAAATTATTCCTTCTAACGCTAAAATTAAAATATAATTTTACTTTTTTTCATTTTTAATATTAGGTAAATGCAATAATTATTAAGAAAAATAGTTTCGCTTTATTTTATTTTTTTTTTTTGGAATTGTATTATGCCCTTTAAATCAATTCAACTCTAGTAAACATTTACTTTAACGAATTGTTATTCCGTTCTCAATATTTCCGATTGCATTTTCCTGATCCCAAAATAATTGTCCTCGTTAACACTAGAATAAATTGGATGAAATTTATTTTAGCGAAAAGCAAATATTGTAAAATTGCTTTAATCCAAAAGCAAACGAAAAAAAAACAAAAATTGAAAAATAATTTCTTCTGATAAATATTGATGAAATTATTATTATTATTATTATTATTATTATTATTATTATTATTATTATTATTATTATTATTATAATTATTTTTATTATTTAATTAAAATAAATATTTATTTCAATAACAACTAAAGTAACTAAATATTATATATAAGAAAAATTAATTTTTATAAATATAATATGAATGGTTAATAAGTAAAAAAAAAAAGAAAAATTTCTTACTGGCACAGAGGTTGGAAGCTGCTTCGTCGGAACCATCTTCGCAATGTCGAATACCATCACAAACAAGGTCTGTGTCGATGCAAAATTCCTTAGTGGTACACCGAAAATCCTTACAGGCGTGTTCTGTAAAAAAAAAGAAAGAAATACAAAATTTCATTTAAAAATTTTTTTTTTTTTTTGTTAATAAAAAAAACAAAAGCATCTAGAAATTCTTTTTTTTAAGATAATAGAATGAAATAAAAGTATTTTTACAATTTAAAAAGGAAAAATTTACTTCGTACGAAAATGACTTTAAGGTCATATATATATATATATATAGACAACTTAATTTTGCCTCGGCTATATATACTGCATTAGGAGAGGATGCAACACAATAGACGAACGGAAACTATAATGAAATTGTGCGTTTCCATTAAGTAATACAGTCAAGTAACATTTAACCAAAACATTAGTCTCTCCAATTTTGCTCTATATATATATATATATATATATATATATATATATATATAACAACAAATTTACTTTCAATAAACAAACAGATTACAGGAAACATTAATTAATATATTAATATTATAATAATAGTATATTAAGCCCATAGTACCTACTATTTAATTTAAAAAAATTAAAATATAATAAAATCATTTAATTTTTTATGAGATTAAAATAATCTTAACTGAAATAATTACATTAACATGAAATTGAAATAAAAATAGGCGTGGCTTATATAAATACATGCCCTAAAGTAGGCGTTACCTAATTTAGTATACGCCTCAAAATAGGCGTATTTTATATTAAGACACATCCTAAAGTAGGCGTCACCAAAATATACCTGCCACAAAATAGCTGATAATTCTTCACGCCTCTAAAGTAGGCGTTGACAAATTAGGGCCGGCTAATTAATTAGAGTAGGCGTGGTTTCGATTTAAATACGCCTCAAAGTAGGCGTTATCAAATTAGAATTTACCTAAAGTAGGCGGGGTTTTTTTTATCAAGATACGCCCTAAAGTAGGCGTTACCAAATTAGGACTGGCTTAAAGTAGGCGGAGTTTTAAATTAAGATACGCCCTAAGGTAGGCGTTAACAAATTAGTATTGCCATAAAATAGGTGGGGATATATATTAAGTCACGCCTCTAAAGTAGTATGTGTATTTTTTTTAATTCTCCGCCTACATTAACATAGTCCTAATTTGGTAACGCCTACTTTATGTAAAAAAAAAAATAAAGATTCGCCCTAAAAATAGGCGTTATCAAATTATGATTGTCTTAAAGTAGGTGGAGCATATATTACAACATAACATAAAATAGACGTTTCCTAAATTAGTACACGCCTTAATATAGGCGTAGTTTATATTAAGACACATCCTAAAGTAGGCGTTACCTAATTTAGTATAAGCCTCAAAATAGGCGTAGTTTATATTAAGACACATCCTAAAGTAGGCGTTACCAAAATATACCTGCCACAAAATAGCTGAGAATTCTTCACGCCTCTAAAGTAGGCGTTGACAAATTAGGGCCGGCTAATTAATTAGAGTAGGCGTGGTTTCGATTTAAATACGCCTCAAAGTAGGCGTTATCAAATTAGAATTTAACTAAAGTAGGCGGGTTTTTTTTTTTATCAAGATACGCCCTAAAGTAGGCGTTACCAAATTAGGACTGGTTTAAAGTAGGCGGAGTTTTAAATTAAGATACGCCCTAAGGTAGGCTTTATCAAATTAGTATTGCCATTAAGTAGATAGGGCTTATATTAAGTCAAGCCCCCTAAAGTAGGGTGTGTTTTAGTTTATGCTCCGCCTACACTAATACAGTCCTAATTTGGTAACGCCTACTTGAAGCAAAAAAAAAATTAGTTTCCTTCTTAAAGTAGACGTTACCAAATTATGATTGTATTAAAGTAGGTGGAGCATATATTAAGAAAAAACTCTAAAGTAGGCGTTTCCTAAATTAGTTTCCTAAATAAAAAAGGGCGGATGTTATATTAAAGACGCACCCTAAAAGTATGGCGTTACCAAATTAGAATTATCTGAAATTAGGTGGAGCATAAATTAAGATACAACCTAAAGTAGGCGTTATCAAATTATGATTGTCTTAAAGTAGGTGGAGTATAATTTAAGATACAATTTTAAAGTAGGTGTTATCTAATTTAATGCCACGCCTTTAAGAAGGCGTGTTCTTTATTAAGACACGTTCCTAAAGTAGGCGTTGTCTAATTAAGTGCCACGCCTCAAAGAAGGCGTGGCGTATATTAAGACACGCCCCCTAAATATAGGTTAATTCTACATTTTAAACCGTGATAAAAATAGTTGAATTTTTTTTTTTAATGTGAAATAAATTTTTTAAATTTGTGGTTTAATTTAAAAAAAATATACGTATATTTGTGCTCGAATGGGAAAGAATGATTGATAATTATAAGAATTGGAAGAAGATAAGTAAAATTTCTCCTGAAATGGGAATTTGATTGGTTAGTAGAATTATTATTTAACTATTATATAGTCTCTATATGCATTAGTATATAGCGTGGTTGTGGCATATTAGGTAGGTTTGCGTGTGATGGGCCATTTCATGCAAAGAGTAAGTGTGAGAGAGAGAGAGCCAGAGAGAGAGAAGGAGAGAGTAAGGCGACCCGATTACGATAATGGCGTCGATGACGATGCTAACAGCGCTAATGACGGTTATGACAATAATTGTGACATTCCGTCACACCGTAAAAGAGACGACATATTGTTTCATTAGATCCGCTTTATAGTAGACAATTATTATTATTATTATTATTATTATTATTCAACTGAACTACTGGCACTATTTCAAAGACAATTGCACAACTTTCATTATTCTACAACTTGTGGCTTAGTGAAACAAGATCTCTCGTACATATTGCAGTTTAACTTGTCAATAATCGACTACTGGCGCAGTACTGGTACAGTACCAGTACATTACTTGGATGTATAATGATAATACATTACTAACACAATTGTGGTACAATTCTATGTTATATGTCTGGTAAATTGACAAAATTTTAGTTTAACTCTAGTAAATTTCTAAAAACATTTCTGGTACAATTCTGGTACTGTTTTGGTATAATTTCTGTATTTTCTGGTATAGTTTTGGTACTTTTCTAGTACATTTCAAACTCTTTACTTAAAATTTTTCTGGTACAGTTCCAGGTATAATTCTGGCATATTTTTGATATAGTTGTGGTACTTTTCTGGTATAGTTGTGGTACAATTTTGGTATTTTTCTGATACAGTTCCTGTCTTTGTTCAGGTAATTTTCTGGTACAGTTTTGGTATAATTCTGATACAGTTTTCGTATAGTTCTGATACAGTTACGGTTTTTTTTTCTGGTAGAGTTCTTGTCTTAGTTTTAGTATTTTTCTGGTACAGTTCCTGCATTGGTTCAGGTACTTTTCAGGTATAGTTGTGGTACAGTTTTGGCATTTTTCTGGTACAATTCTTAGTTTAGTTCTGGTATTTTTCTGGTATAGTTGTGGTAAAGTTTTGGTATTTTTCTGATACAGTTTTCCTGCCTTAGTTCAGGTAATTTTCTGGTACAGTTTTTGCGTCGTTCTGGTACAGTTTCTGGTTCAGTTCTGGTACAGTTTTGGTATAATTCTGATACAGTTTTCGTATAGTTCTGATACAGTTACGGTTTTTTTTTCTGGTAGAGTTCTTGTCTTAGTTTTAGTATTTTTCTGGTACAGTTCCTGCATTGGTTCAGGTACTTTTTAGGTATAGTTGTGGTACAGTTTTGACATTTTTCTGGTACAGTTCCTGGTTTAGTTCTGGTACTTTTCTGCAATAGTTGTGGTATAGTTTTGGCATTTTTCTGGTACAGTTTCTGATTTAGTTTTGGTACTGTTCTGATATAGTTGTGGTACAATTTTTTGTATTTTTCTGATACAGTTTCTGTCTTAGTTCAGGTAATTTTTTGGTACAGTTTTTGCGTCGTTGTGGTACAGTTTCTGGTACAGTTTCTGGTTCAGTTCTGGTACATTTCTGGTACAGTTTTGGTATAATTCTGGTACAGTTTTCGTATAGTTCTGATACAGTTATTGTATGTTTCTGGTAGAGTTCTTGTCTTAGTTTTGGTACTTTTCTGGTACAGTTTTTTTTTTTTTTTTTTTTTTTTTAATGATTCTGTTACATTTAGTACCAGATTCTTAGTTCTGGTATATTTTTTGGTAAAATTCTGTTAAAGCGTCGGTAATTTTCTGGTACAGATTTTGGATTAGTTCTGGTACATTTATTGTTAAAGTTTTTCTAATTTTCTGGTACAGTTTCGGTAAATTTCTGATATTGTTCTGACACAGTTCTGGTACAGTACCGCGCCAGTAGTGAATTTGGATTTTGTTTCAAATTTTTTTGAGTACAAATATTATGTTACATAATCACAAGAAAAAAAAAATTTACTATATTCTTTTAATCCTTAATTATAATAAAGTAAAAAAAAAATTCTTCTATGTATTTTCGGAAATAATTCATATGTAAATATTTTAAAAACAAAGAAATAAGCTGAAAAAGGTTAATCAAGTTTCCATATATATATATATATATGGTATTCTTTTTTCTGTTCAAAAAAAAAAAATGGAAGAAAAAAAAGCAGCACACTGTTAAATGTGTCAGAAAGGTGGTAAGAAGTGTACATGGAAAAAGACAAAGTAGATTAGAGTATGTCTAGGTGAGGAGTTTTGTTCATGAGAGTGAGCACGCTTTTCTACAGCAGGCTCGAATGAGAATTAGTATATATACATATACATATACATATATATATATATATATATATATATATATACATATATATATATATATATATATATATATATATATATATATATATATATATATATATATATATATACGCACGAGCAAGAAGAAGCAGCATTAAATAGGGTACGGTGGGTATTGGCCTGGGGTGCGAGAACGAAAGGGAGGGTAATTTCCATATGGATGATTCCCATACAGAGAGAGAGAGAGAGAGAGAGAGAGAGAGAGAGAGAGAGAAAAGTCGTTGCCGTCCGCGGCGCACTCATGGTACCGGGCTAGAATTCGAGAGCAGTTTGTACGAGCAAATAATGCGTTTATGCATTTGCATGATGCTTCCGTAACGCGAACCAGTGCTCCAAACCG